GGATGCTCAACAATGTCCCAGCATCTAGGGCACCATGCTAAGGGCAAAGACTCGGCTTTCACAGCAGGTAATTTTTCGCTCACACGATCGGCAAGCGAAGCTCGACAACAAGCCCCGAAACGATTGAGAAACGCCGTTCTGTGCCTGCTGAGGTCCCGATGTGAGCTCTGAAAGGATGAGTTCATGCCAGGAGCTTAAACCTCAGGGGGTCTGAAGAGCATGAAGCTCCTCAAGACCGGCCGGTGCTGGGGACCACGTTGGGCATCAGCAGTGACACAGGCTCATGCATCCAAACAGATTCCTCCTGCTACCCCAGAAAGTAGCAGAAAATCAACTGCCATCCCTATATTTTCAGGCCAAATGGGATACTTCTGTGCAGGATTAGTGGCTCTTACGTTGTCCCACCGGTGAATGCAAGTTGAGGGTGAGGGTGGGGCCAAGGTCTCAGCTTGCCCTGGTCTTTACACTCCTCCGCAGCAAGGAGCCACAACATCTCTTCCCCAAGGAGGGGTTTTCTTGTAGCTGAAGGGGTGCTGCGAGAGTCAGCAGTGTGCCCCACATCGCCTTGGAAGGGGCTGCAGGCCCCCCCAACCCAAAATGGTTGATGTCTGCACAGAGAAGTGGAAAGACATAGTACACGGTAAACAAAGGCAACATTTCACAGCGGCACATGGTACAGGCAGCTCACCTTAGGTAAATATGCCACAGATGAATAATAAAAAGCGCCCCGGTTGCTTGAAGCAGAGGCTGTCATGGAAACCCTGGCAGCGAGCGGCATCGTTTAGGGGAATCGCTTAGGAGTGACAGAAAAAAGGGCATAGTTTCTTGGGAGGCAGCAGGATTCAGAGATTAAACACACCGAGCAAGGCTGAAGTTTGGGCTCGGGAAATCTTCAGCAGGTTGCCCATCCAGCCCGGGACATGTCGCAGTCTTTCAGTGCCTTCCCTGCAAACTGGGGTGGATTTTTCCCTGTTAGACCTGTTGAAAGATCAATAAATAACAAGACAGTAAACATCTCTGTGTGTTAGTACTTAGGCTACCATGGGGAAGACTCTTTGTAACCAGAAAAGGTGGTTGTTGTGAATATTCACCACGAGGTTTGGCAGCAGAGCCTGAAGGAAAAGTGGTGGAAGGGCTCTGGGTGCACCACCCTCCTTCCGAAATGTGGTCCAGGAGGTCATGGCCAGTGCTGCACCCTCTCCAGACCAGCATCCCTCGGTGCTGAGGGCTCGGGGCAGCTCTGTGCTCCCCATTTGATCTGAATTAACACTAACCCCAATTTTCCAAACCTGGTTTTATCCCCTCCACATTGAAGGATCGCAAACCAGGATGCTTGTTTTGTTCCGCCAGCTCACCGACGTGCAAGCACCCTCCTCCTGGCATTCTGTGCTGGGGTTTATGTCTTAATTGGCATCCCCCAAACCACTCCAGCACGAGGGCAGACAACCTGATAAACGCAAGAACCTGCCATCCCTTCGGTGTCTTTTCCACCACGCTTCCCCTTCCAGGCAGCCTGAGCTGTTTTATCACTTTCTCGAAAGGAAAGCACTGTCGAGTCCCCAAACCTCACAGCAGCAGGGCGCTGGAGATAAGGCAAGGAAAATATTTCACTCGCAAGGAAACTGTGCTCATCTCGCACCACCGTCCCCATCCTCTGGAATCCAAGGCAATAATTACAGCAATTTGTAGATAATTATTTGTTAATTAAAAACAGGCTTGCTGGGTACAGTTACCAATTTCCTCCGCTGGCTGCATAGGGCTGCGCAAGGAGACACTGGGGGATTGCCGGTTTCGTAAAATCGTTTGCTTGTTCAGTTTGGAAAAAAAGCCCCCGGTGGGTCGTCTCCCCCCCCTCCCCACATCCTGGCAGGTCTGACTCATTCTCCTAAGGCATCCTGGAGAGATCCGTCCCTGGCTTTCCCTTGGAGATTTCCAGTGAAGGTGACTGCTACATCCCCGCGCTGCAGCCTGTTTCCTTGGCTAATTTAATGACCCTGTGCTCACACAGATTCATTTCCAAACACATTTAAATTAGTAGCTCCTAAAGAAGGATTCGTGACCCCAAGTTGAGGTCATGAGCCTGAGAGAAGCTCACCTCCATCCCATGTTTATATTAGCAGTAATAAATGAACAGTGTGTAGACAGAGTTACAGCTGGGAGCAAACTGAAGCTGCTGGGTTAAACAGCGCCGTTGGGGGCAATTATTCTGCCCTAGGTTGGGCAGTCTGTGGTTCTTGGTAGCTTCCCAGGAATAGTTTCCATGACAGCCGTGAGAAGAAGTGATGACAAGATTTCAGATGTCCCCCACTAAATACTGCACCTGCGGGGAGTGTGTCTTGGGATGATGCCCTTCACGATGTGCCAGGATTCTGGATCTTGTGAGTCCTCTGTTTCTGTTTCTCCTGTGGAGAACACCTTCTCCTGGGCCCACCGTGATCCACCAACCCACCAACCTGCTCCAGGGTCCCCCACAGCTCCAGAGCCAGGAGGAATTATTTAGCCCTGGAAGCAAGAAAGTCACATTGCTCCTGATCTACTGCTGGATTGAGCTGGCTCTGGGTGGTCACTTCAGATGTCCCTTCCTCTGTGGCACTGAGGAGACAGCTCATGGAGATCTAAGAGTTAGCTCTGTGGGTTGTACACCAAAATAGTACCAGTAGCACCAGTATAAACCCTCATAGAAAAGCAAGTCCATGGGGAAGTATGGTGAGAAGAGAAAGTGAGCAGCCTCCTCCTCCAGGTTGTAGCAGAGCAGCTCGGAGCCATGGTGACAAGGATGGGACTAAGGAATAACATGGCCATTTTGTCATCATATGCCCAGAAGCAGATTGTTCCCATCCCCCTTAGCAAAACAGTGGCGTCAATGAGAACAAACCAGTGATAATGGGGAGGGGAAACAAATTAGACTGTCAGTATCCTCTTCGCGGAAATAATCTCACAGGTTGTTAGTCACACAGGGCTGGCTTCGCCCCTCTAATTTTCTCCTGTACGTGGGCTTTCGTGTTCCTCTCATCACCTTAGTGGCTGAGTGCCTGCACCATGTGCAGAGGAATCACAATTAAGCAAAGTGGCTGGATGTCATGATATACGGGACTACATCTCTGCTTCAGCAGCACAGAAAGCTAGCGAAGAGCTGAGATTAAACACCGGGTTAATTAGTACATTTAATTAGCTCTCAGTTATTAAATCCTTTCAGACCCTTAGATAAATCGCTCGAAGTACAAAACATCCCTTAGAAATGCTATTATTTATTCCTCTCTTCTCTCTCCAGGTGTGTGCAGGGCTGGAGAGCTCTAGCTTTCCTCCTGCAGCTTCATGCAGGGGCAGAGTCCCTCCCCGCCTCAATGGCTCAACGCCAGTCCCTGAGATTACTCTTGAATTTCCAAGTCTGACAATTGCAAATTCACAGTTCTTCTGGGAGGAGAAGGGGCAGTACCCTGCTAACGTGGGCAACACTAGGAGGAAAGGGAATGGTGTTGGGAAAGAGCAGGGAGCGACAGATCCTCTTAACTCTGACAGACAGAAAGAGATTCACAGAGGTTTGCTGTGAACTTAGCCACCCAGCACTGTGTCCCTTTCCGTGCTGCCGTCCTCCGTGGCTGCAGCAGACAGGCATGGCAGCCCTGCAGGAAAAAAGAGCAGAAATGGGTGGAGGAACTTCTCACGCAGGCTTTGGAGCATTGCCAGTCACTGTGCCAGCCAGACTGCAGGATAGGAAAAGCTCCTCCAGGCTCCTGTTAGCAGAGTCTCCCGCGTTCGCCCTCCGAATGATTTTCCTGCGGTTGCCATGTTCATCCTAACAGTCCGTGGATGCATCTCTGCTCTGAAGTCCCGGAGCAGCTGCCACCCTGCTCCTTCTCCCCGTCATCTCCAAGTGCACGGTGGTCCCGTGCTAACCCACTGCACAGACCTGCTAAGATCCATGGGGTCAGCTGAGCTTCAGAGAGCCCATGGCAGCCCTGCCAGAGGCTGTTCTGGCAGGGGATTTATTTATGGCAGGGGAATCCAGTTTTTCAGATGACCTTGGAGATCTACCCAAAGCATTTATAATTTGGATAATGCAGGGCCCTGAACAACACAGGTGCAATGAGCTCAGGCTCTGGGCAGGCTGGAAAACTGCTTCCTATAGCGTCAAATCTGTACGCCGTTCTCCTCGCAGTTCACTGGGAAACCGATGTTTAGGTCTGAGGAAAGGGGTTTCAGTGTTTTCAGCACCAAGCCTTCTCTTCCCTAGTTAATAACAGCTGTGATGGTGGGCAGGGAATTCAGGTCCTCCTGATGCTGGTGACCTCAACCCATAGGCTGAGAATTAACAGGAGCAAAGGGCTACATTGGATGTGGCTTGCTTAAGGGAGTTTGGTTAGGAAAAAATAATAGTACAAGATTAAGCTGAAGGATATTCCTCGTTGCACCATCACACAACAATGACTTACCCAGTACTTGTTTGTGATTCTAATAATCTTAAAATATTAGAAAGCAGAAAGCAAAGGCTGGGATAAGATGCTGTTACTCAGCAAACCAACATTTTGAGAACAAGAATGCAGCTTTCTGGAAGATAATGTTCTCTCTTTTTCACCCTGCGCCATTTCAAAAGAAAGGTATTTAATCCTTCTATAAATAAGTATGAATGTATTTCCTTCTACAGTCTACAAAATATGTCTGCAACAAAGCAATGTGGAGACATTTGGGAATGAAGTAGCTAATTTGATACTCATAAGAAACCATAACCATAGCCCAGGACTGCATCTCAGAGGACTGGGCTGACCTTTCAGCAGCTGATGATAGTTCTAAAATGGCTTCTCATCACTGAAAGCCCAATCTAACATCAGTTAAAATAAATTAAAAGCTATCACTGACTTCTGCAGATATTGGATTAGACCATATAAAACCCACTTGAATGCTGGGAACCCAAGGAAATTATCATGGTAAATCTAAATTCTAGTGAAGCCTTACAGGCTTTAAAACATCTCTCTGCAGCCCCATTAAGAACGGGTTTCTACTTAGCTCATGAATAATTCACTTTTCTTTTTCTTCTGATAGATGATGAGTCCCACTACGATGAAGCCTAAGCCCAGCACAAAGCCCAGCGTTCCAGTCACCTTCTTGCTCACAGCAGATCCAGAGCTTGTTTCTATTGGAAGAGCAGTCCAGAGAGTTAAGGCCCAGGCTAGACATTGCCTGATCTCCCCATTTCCAGTTTCTTACCCCAGACCACGGTGATGGGCACTGGCAGGCTGACATGCTCCACCTGGCAAGCATAGACAACCCCTTGCTTCGGTGTGACTTCCAAAGTGACCAGGATCCGGAAAGACTAATCTCCATTTAGGAGGAGGCCCTCATACACAACTTTGTCCATCTCCTCCTGCCCATTTTTGAACCACTTGATCTTAATTTCGGAAGAATAAAACCTTGTTACAGAACAAACCAGCTAGTTGGGATAGCCCCACAGCTCCATTTGCATGGGAGAAATTTTTACTCTGAGTTTAACTGAAACAGAGAAAGAGAGAGATGGAGAGTGCTGGCAGACAGGAGACAGCGCTGGCAGACAGGTCGCTCCTCTCTTCCTGCCCCATCCTCCTCGGGAATTGTTCGTAGCAACACGACCTATGGATTTCTCCTCCAAACCCTTTTGTCAACACATCCTTTGTTCCAGACCCACTGCCTTCAACATGACCCCTCATTACACATCTCCCAGCCACATTCATCTTTAATCCTCTTTCTTTCTTCCCTCAGTGAAGGACCATAATGGAAGATGCACTCTGCTTCTACCAGAAACATCTTGTAGGAGCATTTCATGTCTTCTCCCACGTCTCAGGTGGGTCCATTGCTCCAGGAATTGGCAGGAGGGCAGGTGCATTTGTTAGGCTTGGGAGTCCTGTCCCATGCTTTTCTGCAGGGCTCCTGCAAGTCATTTCCTTCAGTCTTAGCCTCACAATAACGATGTTAACCGCTCCAGTCCATGGCACTCATTCTCCCCCTGCCCCACTGAACTCAGGCCTATCTCCCACCACCCACTGAGCTCCTCTGACGTCCAGTGGCTGCCAAACAGGGAGATGGCAGAGGGGGTTAAACATGGTCCCAGGCTGGGGAAGCCAAGTTTCCCCATGCCACTCTCCTCTTTTCCTCCCCTCCAAAGACTCGCTTCTCCTGTCCATCACACCCTGAGTCTTCCTCCAGTTATAGCTGCAGTATTTCTCCCTTGAAGCCCACCGGTAGCTAAGCCACTGCAGCCTGTTCCAATACTCAGCAATTGCCCGTCTCAGCTCTCTGTGGGCCGCGTAGAAACCCACCTCACTGTCATAGGAACAGATCTCCTGCCAGTCCCAGATGAACCTGTCCGGCTACCTCACCGGCTGAGTGCCACTCGTGTAGTGACACTCCTGTTTTCACTGCAGCAGGAAATGCTCTTGGGGGAGACACATGGGACAAGGTCAGGATGGACATCTTCCTGCTGCTTTCCCTTCTCCCTGAATATCCAGGATCTCTGCTCACCTGGAGGGTCTGTATGAAGAGTCATGTTGCTCCTCATCCCTATCATTACAGCCAGAGCCACAAACCAGGAGGTTTCGAACCTGGGAATCCCCAGAGAGGCCACTGTTGCTCAGGTAGGGGGGGGGGGGGTAACCTTGACGGGAGAACAGGTTT